CCAAACATGATACCCATGTTCTTATCTGTATCTGTTTTTTCTTCAGATCCATTATCTTCAACCTGCGTGTATGAATCACAGAATAATACAATGTCAAATTCATAAGAAACAAACATAAAGAGCAATCAATTTCACAAACCACTTAAGCAAAAATAAAATGTTATAGATAATAAGCGAAGAATGTAATGCAGTCCAGCGTTGAGGGGTGACTCCAATCAAACTTCATTAAGGTACAGCTGAGGCATTAGCAAGTTCAATGACACACGTCGGGCAAGAAAAGAAATAAATGTATGTGCAGTAAGGCATTAGCAAGTTCCATCTAGCGAAACGCGCTTGTGTTAGTCTCCACATTAATGGGGTGCTTCAAAAATTTACCATACTAGGAATTTTTAATGCAACTCCTTTTACAAGCCTAAGCAACAAATTAACAAAGCTCATAACAGAGTGGCAGATGACTCACTCAATCCTCGATCCAAAATACTTAAATATCAAAATCTTTACGTTCTAACCTCTGCAGGTCTATAACTTTCAGTGGGTCGGGAACGTTTCCTGGAAATATTAGTAGTTTTTCGCTGCTTCAACTGATTGCTCATAGGTCCTAGCCTTGAAAAAGAACACAACAAAAAAAGTTATATAATTGAATTAAAACATTAATTGAAGACAATTCAAAAGGAATCCATGAATCTCACATGGTGCGGCATCCATGGCAATTCATGAAAATAGAGGAAACACCGAGTCCAATATCTTTCCAACTAACAGAAACCAGGTTGTTTTCTTCACATGTTATATTACCGTTAATGTCAGCAAACTCTCTGAGAAGACAACTGACAAAATCTGATGGAGTAACACCTTCATTCGACTGAGACATAATAGAGGTCACGAGGGAGCTTGCAATATCTTGCAACGCCTCTGCATCTGCAACTTGTTCCCTTGGCTTATGAACTGAAACCCAAATGGAAACACAACCATGTCACACAGCTGACAAGATCAACAGGAATGTATGAATGCAGGGGGGAAGCCAAAGATGCACAATTTCGTCGTTTTAATCTTGTTGGTGAAAATTCTAAGAGTTGTGCCGTAATGCCACAACCAAAATGGTGTAATACTCAACTATTGTGGTAGAGGCGGAAGTAAGATTAATCGCACTCACACACCCACATATAAACAAAGAGACACAAAGATTTACATGGTTCGGAGAGAAGAAATTCCCCTAGAGAATCACTATAACCGAAATATTTACAAGTGTATCTCTCACACTCTCACACTACCAAATGGTTATGAACTAAATGCTAGTTAATAACCAAAATAAATGAAATTATAAACCATCAAACGTTATGAACTAAATGAGAGTAAAAGAGACAACAGTTCTGGAATGAAAAAACGAGAAAGGAAGAGTACAGAGATACCTTGCTCGTGCAACTTTTCCACCTCATTGATGATAACATTAAACTTATCCAAATCCTTCGACAAGTCCTCTCTTCGTTCTTCGAAGTAAGGAAACCAATAAAAACCGATTACACACAGTCAAATCAAACCCACAACTCAAAATCCAGCTCTAATTCAAAATGCAGAGACTCATCCTACCGCTAATCTCATGAATAACAGCAAGGTACCGAGAGCGAAGAACCCGCCGCTTCGACAACTCTTGCTGACCCTCTTCTTCTACAGTCGTATTGTCCACGCCGGACTTCTCTCGCTCCCAAGCTACCCTCTCCCGCTTAACGTCCCTTAAACTCGCAGCATCGACAGCAACGGAGCCGCCTCTACTCCGATTATTGCGGCTGCTGGAGGCGGGTTCGCGTTTGACAGGCCTCATCGTTAGGATCGCGCAATGCAAGCCGTTATCCAAAATTAGGGATCAAACTCAGGGAGAATAATCGAAAATTGGTGAGGAATCAGAACGTCGCAGATGAAATTGAGAGTAGAAATCGAGATTTTCTGCTAAAAAAATTTGAATTTGGAGAGAGAGAGAAAAGAAAAACAGAAGAGGAAAAGAGCGGCCGTCTCCGAGTACTGAAATTTCGCGCCGTCGGTGTCGGAGGTTTCCATTTCCGATTTCTTCTTCACAGCTTATGCGACAAAATTTATTTATACTATTTTATTGCTAGTGTTTCTTATGATTTACCCAAATCTGATAAGACCACGTTCCACTCGCTCTTCTATCTCTCCCACTCTCTTCTGAAGAGCCGGCAAGTTCTTAAGCGTCCGAACACGGAATATCCAATAGTCCTATCTAACGGTTATTCTATTTCTATCATTTCATACTCTACCGGGTCTGGAACTCCGAGACAAAGCTAGAATAGCCAACTTTTGAATTAGCTCCGAGTTTTGCTTGGAAGGTGCATAGTGCTGCCTTCTATGAGCATTCAGATACTTAATGAGTCTACACTCTGCCATTACCGTATCGGAAGAGAGAAGCTCAAACGAGTTAACCCCAACAAAAATCTTACTGTCAACTCAAAAACACCACAACGTGAGACAAGGAAGTTAGACAAAGTATTTATATCCACCTAGGAAGATAAATAGCGAGGTTGATGTTATATTAGGGTCAGAATTGCTGCCATGAACGAGTGTCATACGCCTGAATCCAAGCTAGCTGAATTCTACGTGCAGTTAAATGATTTACAAACAGTTGGAATTGCATCCGGTTAAATTTTAGTTGAGGCTTAAATTTTATCTGTTCTAGCCATTTTTTAACTCAGGTTTTTGGTTGGTTCGAGACATTTTGGCGTATTCTAGACCAAATTCAGTCCAATTAAGTTATATGTGTCAATTTAAATCCGTTCTTTAGTCGATTTAGTAGTGCATTTCACTGTTGAGAGCTGCCTTTAGAACAATTAAGTTGTATTGGCTCCATGAACTTTAAGGTCGTTTGGTCGAATGAATAAAATGTTGTAAATGGAATTGCATCCCGTTAAAACTAAATTTAAGAATGTTCAGTTAAGAAAATCTCGACAGCATCAAGTTGAGCTTATACAGTATGCAGACTGACTTATTGCTTAAATGTTTACGAGCTAGATTGATTAGAATTGTTTGATGCATAAATAACACATATCATGTGGCTTTTATTCCCGTATTATTCATTGAAATATTATATATATATATATATGTATTATGTGATACATGTACAGTCATGTATGATCAACCATTATATTATACGGTCATGCATATGATATATAAGACACCATGAACATGATTATGTATATGTTTTTTCGAGACACCACAAATATGAATTTGTACCTGCTCTATGAAAGACCATGGTTACAAATGCACGTCTCGTGAAATGATGAAGTCATGAAATGTATTAAAATATTACTGTGTATCATATCACTAAACCATGAGTTTACATGCGAGACATCTTACATGTTGTATGCTCATGCAACTATAGATTACTTCTCGAGTTATGTAATGTATGGACATATACATTCACGACATTATTTTTTTCGTTGATTTTTTAGCAGTGTGAGTGTGCGCTTACCCATAGTCAAAATTAAGGAGTATGTTAACGAGTCTGCCTAGGACCCAAGTGCATGTATATAGACCATATGTAGAGAAGTGTTATACATCCAACCCTGCTCGAGAATGCAAGTAGGGTCAAATATCAATCATGAAATTTGGTCCAAACAATCATCATACATGTTATATGTGACTGTATTTTCCGATCTATCAATGATGTCGCTTATTGAGTATTTTTAAAACTTATCCTTTCATTAATAATTCTTCCGATAAAAGCAAGGGACCTATGCACAGTTGGCTGCTTGTACTGCAAAGATCGTGAAATAAATTATTTTCGATGTTAGTTTTTGCATGATTTTGTTATGTTTATTCAAGTTCATTGATTTTCAAAATAAAACGTTTTAAATGTTTCTTATAGATTCTAAAGTTTTAAAAATATTTTTGCTTTAATATGATTTGAAATGTTATAACATGCATATAGTATCGGTCTTATATTTAAGATGAAAAATAGATCGTTACAATAACTCGAGTGATATAGAATATATACCCTCGACTAAGAGGTCTAAAGTTCATATCCAATTTCTAATGGAACGTCTTTCACAATCCCTCGAGAGATAGTTCACTAATAGACCAAAGGATAAGTAATTCGACGCATTCACGTCCAAGTCATGAATGTTTGGAATCCATATCATGCAAGAAGACATTGGTTTTGCTAATTCGAATTGAAGGGTGATATAAAATTGGTCTATTTTCGGGATCATATCCATAGTTAACATAGTTAGCAGCTAGGTTAGCCGAAATATGGTTATCGATTCAAGGACGCAAGGTGCACCTGTTTTTTCAGGGTAAGAAGGGGTAGAGAAAATAAATCGATCCAATGTTCGAGTACCAGGCGCTACGACACTGAAGTAACCCATGTCATACTCTCAGGAGAAGCTCAAACGACCTTCAATAAAAGGTACCTATACCTGAAACCAACACAGGTAGATAGGTAGAGAATACCTAGGGGCCAGACAACTCTCTCTAAGGAACTTGGTAAAATAGCTCCATAATTTCGGGAGAAGGGATGACTCCTCATAAAGGGGGTCACAGTGACCAAACTCGGGCGACTATTTACCAAAAACACAGGTCTTTACAAAGTTGTAAGAGCATGTATGGGGGCTGACACCTGCCCAGTGCCAAAAGGTCAAGGAAGTTAGTGACCTAATGACAAGGGAACTGACGACCGAAGCCCTGAAAGATGTTCCACTAGAATCTTTCGACTGGAACGAGGAAATGAGCAAAAACCCAAAAACAGAAGTAGAAGAGGAAATACTGCGTCGACGACTGACTCAAGTGCCCCGAACCGCGCAAAATACCCTCTAAGCTCGAGTTTACCGGGGATCTTAGAGGGGCACCCAATCAATACTGCTATGAACATCGACTGTAACTATAATTAAATAGGAACATAGGAATTTTAAAAAAAAAAATATGCAATATTCAAAAAGTTGAAATATTAAATTAGCACTATAATATAATAAATTAAAGAGAAAATGTTCATTTTATAACTTCTATGATTTTGTTCTCCACAAATTTGCTCTCAAATCTATCATTTCCGCTTGAAGAAAATCGATTTCGCCATCAAATTAATCGTCCTCTTACCGTCTTCCCAACCATTCTCCGTCAGATTGTTGTATCAATCTGCTTCCCAACCAAAATCATTTAAAATCCTTTTATCCACTTCATATCCCTTTAGTTCCTGTTCATCTCCGTGTGATTTTTCCGGTGTCGGCGATGTCGAGCTCTACCCTCGAGTCTTTTAAAGTTGAAACCAGTGATGGGGTGAAGCTCCAGACGCGGGTTTTCAAGCCAAAAGATGAGGAGGTAAGGCAAAATCTGGTGGTTGTTTTGGTCCATCCTTACTCCATTATGGGTGGTTGTCAAGGGCTTTTGAGAGGAATTGCCTGTGGGTTAGCGGAGAGCGGTTATAGGGCTGTGACTTTTGATATGAGGGGTGCTGGGAAATCGTCTGGAAGGGCTTCTCTCACTGGATTTGCAGAAATTAAGGATGTTGTTGCTGTTTGCAAATGGGTTTGTGAGAATTTGTCTGTTCATCGAATTTTGTTGGTGGGTTCATCTGCAGGTATGTTGTTTTTGAGTTTCTTCTGTGAAATTTTGGTCTCGGATTGGTTGTCTGGTTTGGTGATTGCTTTGGGATATGATTGTTCTTACATATTGATTCAAATTCTTTTCAAGATCATGTTCTAAATTGCTGTCTGTCACATTTGATTTCTTTTGTGGAATGGAACTCTCTGGTTGGTTGTTGTATGATATCGATTCATGGAAAACAAGAATTTATTCATGATCTTCTTGCTCAGAGAAAAGTAAGTGCCTGAAATGGCTGTGACTGTTTCTGTTTTATAAGCTTTATATGTGTGTATATATATATACATATATGCGTGTATATATATACATATAGACTGGTGGAATGACATTGAAGATTTTGAATGTGGAAGATGTAAGAGAGATTTCCCAGGTGATTAAATGGAATAAGGCTTGAAAATACAAATTTTAAGATGTAGTATTGTATCTGAGATCCAAAGAATCAATCAAACAAGAGAAGCTTTCACTTTCTTGTGAGATCCCATATCGGTTGGAGAGGAGAACGAAACATTCTTTATCAGGGTATGGAAACCTCTCCCTTTTAAAAACCTTGAGAGAAAGCCCGAAGAGGACACTATCTGCTAGCAGTAGGCTTGTGTCGTTACATTTCCTTTTTGAGATCCAAAGAATTGATCAAATAGGAAGCTTTCCTTTTAAGACATAATCTTAAGGCTTGCTAATTGTCGTGAACTCACCAAAACTAGGCTAGCAAGTGTCCTTTTAGTTCAGTGACGATGTTGCTTCAGTTATCTATATGGTCTGGTTTCCTCGCACATGAACTGTCCAGGACGAAACCCGTTCGAGATAAAATAATGCCACATCTTGGAAGAGGGTCTACACCCTTTTGCTTTCTCATTTTACAATGTCAAACCTGCTACTATCATATATCACATAGGCACATCGTAGACAATGGGAAGAAATATAGCTTCAAAGCAAGACCTAGGTGGGATTGAAGGAGGGGGATGATGCATCTAACAAAACTTAGCCCAAGAACATTATTTCCTATTAATTTGTGTCCTTTGCAGGGGCCCCTATTGCAGGCTCATCTGTGGATTTGATAGAACAAGTGGTAGGCTATGTTAGCCTTGGCTACCCCTTTGGCCTAGCTGCCTCAATTCTTTTTGGAAGACACCACAATGCTATTCTACGGTCTCCAAAACCGAAACTTTTCGTGATGGGCACACGGGACGGTTTTACGAGCGTGAAGCAATTGCAGAATAAGTTAAAATCTGCAGCAGGACGTGTTGAATCACATCTAGTACGAGGCGTGAGCCATTTTGAAATGGAAGGCCTTGCATATGACTCTCAAATGGTGGATCTTATCCTTCATTTTCTTGCTTCTTTGTAGGATAATTCCATCAACTTTATTCAGAATATTTGTGTATTAACTCCTTGTGCGTTGTGAAGGAAATTCTTAGAGTTTGGCTCAACAAATTCTGTCATAGTGTTGAATATGTATTGATACAACAGCATATATGAGAGGCAGGGAGCTACTAATCTACAAGAGATTCTATTGACTATAGAATAAGTTTTACAGAGAATATTTCTACTGAAGTTAAAGCTAGGGATCAAAATAAGACAAGAACTCTTAGTACAATCAATAAACAAAAGGCAAGGCAAGGCAAGGCATTAGTAACTGCACGGTTGGTCATAAAAGTTCGAAAACGCCACAACGGAGCGAGCATGCTGTTGAGTTTTCCGTTCAACAAAATCGTTTCATCACTGTTGTCGTCGATCATTGGCAGGCCTGCTGCAGGTTTAGGCATTTTGATTCTTTGCCATTTTGGAGCTTCGGCCACTTGATCGTCATACACGAACCATTGATTGTCCTTGAGAATATGGTTCTCTCCCATCTGCTTGAATCCCAAAAAATAAATGACAAAACGAGGAAGATACGTCGCCTTCTCATAACAAGTAACCCAATTTAACCTTCGTCATTTTAACTTAGAAAAAGAAAAACATGTGATGAAATGGTGCCATTCAAGTTGCAAGTTCAATAATCAGATGAGTTTTTTTACTCCTTCAACTTGCTAATGTTCAACCAAATACATTGACAACAAATACAGAACTAATGCAATATCATGTAATTTATCAACTGCACACCAGTAAGCATATGTTTAATTAGTTATTACCACTTTCACCATCAGATGCATCTTCGAGCCTTGCAATCGTGTCGACAAGGGATTGCTCATGGTCCTGCATTTGTATAGATTCAGATTTAGTTGCACAAATAAACACACATAGCAACGTTAAGGTCGAGACCGGACAGTTCATACTTTCAGCACTTTCTTAGCCTTTTCAATCTCCATGGGATCCGGATTATTAGCACCAAATACTTTTTCCACCTGCTTGAACAACTCCAACAAGGAAAACAAAGTTAGCCAAAATGAATGTTCACAATAACTTTTTTTTTTTGGTTAGATAAGAAACAACTTCACAGATGATATGAGATCATATTAGATCCGGCACACCTCCTTAATCAGCATGTCTGTGTGAAGTATTTCAATATCACCCATAGCCTGCTTCCGAGATCCATTATGAGCTACGGGCAAGTCTTTCCTCGATTGACCCTTCATGGTTCCTCTACCCTTTCCACCAGCAGCAACTGCACCGCCTCGTGTCATGGACTTCTTACTGCCCCTCCCGTGCCCAGGGCGTGCCCCACTGCGAGATAATACCGAATCCTCTCGTTCCCATCTAATATCTTCAGGAGAAATCTAACAGAAAAGATGTATAAACAATTCATAAGTGACAATATTCGAATTCAGATCAGGATTTCCAATAGAAATATGAAAACTGAGTATATGGCCCGCCATTTCATCTTTCAATTAGTAGTCCTGATCTCTAAGTGAATAATGAAGCCACATTTTCAGATGATTTGGTTTATAATCAACAGCAATGACTGTTAGTGGTTCAATTTGAGCATAAGCTGTTCAAATTCTTGAACAGCTGCATATAAATCACAAGCAATAAACCAGCAAGATCTCGAGCTTATAAGGTTGGAGGACAGTTAACTCTAAAAGATTCCACTCTAAATCACGAGTCCTACAGAGACGTGACATCATTACTGCTGCATAAATTATCCTCCAGGTGCAAGTTTGATCTAAGAGCTTAAAATTATGCACCAGAATACATTACAAGAATGTATAATGTTGTCATTACTTCACCTTCACCAGTAAACAACTGTTACAAGAACAAACCAAACAGAACCCATTCTATAATGAAGCAATCGAAGTACAAGCTCAGATTGTCTATCACATAGAATATTGCAATATGGCTATAAACATCCTACTGATCACGACATCTATAATGTTTAACTCTAACCTAGGTCCAAGCTGAGGAAATATAAAGTTGATCTCAAAAATAAACTAAACAAAATCCAAAATGCTTCTCATTTGTCATCTTGAATATGTGAAGAGCAATTCTTTCAATAAAAGTAACATTCCTGAGAAGAATACACGAACAAAGGGAAATCTAGCAAGCCCCTTGTTTATTTATTCATTTTGAGGGTAGGGCGGAATACCTCTTTAAGGTTGACCCATTCCCATGTCTCGTGCGCTGTATTAATATCGTACACCAAAGCATGACGGCCCTGACCCAAATAAGGATATGTGAGATCAAGGAGAACCAACGTTTAGAGTAAAACCAATTCAGTAATAGAATAAACCTCGGCATGGTTATAATCAGTTATAACAGCCTCATAGAAACTGTTGTCTTCAGGCCATCTAGTCCAAACTTTCCGTCCAATTAAGGGTTCGTGGGTCGCTGCTTCAGCATTTTCATTTGAAGCAAAGGCTCCTAAAGAACCTCGATTATTCACTTGGCCACTTCCGTTAAGACCTGTATGCATGGACTTCAAAACAAGTGCTGCAATTAATGCAATGCATTGACCAGATAATAGAAGACAATAAAATTAAACAGAGAAAAATTACTCTAAATTCTTCAACAGGTACAAGTACAAAATATAAAACTTACTGATTTTGTCTTTGTAGTCCTAGCTCCAGGGGGTGGACCACGTCTTAAGGCTGATGAAGATGGTTGCGTACCAGTGGGTATTGCAGATGTAGGTGCACCTTGGGATGTTTTCTGTTTCTTCCGTGATGCAGAGGCAGTGGGGCTTGGTACGAGATCGGCCATGGGTTGATCAGAATTGAGCTTTCCAGGTTGGAGCCCATTTGTTGTTCTCCATTCCCTAAGAGCATTAATCATAACAATAAATTACAAAATAGCATGGTCCATACCAGCTGTTTTAAGTAGCAGTACAGGACAAGCTATACCATATGCAAAATAAACGATCATGAATAATCAAACCTTATTCTTTTGATGACATCGTCTGCATTTACCCTCGATAAAAGTTTTCTGTGTTCCTCATCTGATACTCTCAATTCCTTTCTTAATTCTGTTATTAAACTTTCTTTCTCCTGACAAGTTAAGATTGTAAGGAATCAGAAAGCTGAGCATAAAAATTAATTTGATGAATGCAAAGAACAAAACAATTAGAGAAAAAGATACCCATGTAATTGCATCGGATTGAGCTTTAAAAGCACGCAGGACTGAACTATATGCTTCCTGCTCGATTTGGTGGATCTGCATTTCCATATCACCAAGCATCCTAGGTAATGTAGAAGAATTTATTGGTGCAGATCTTCCATTCCCAGCAGGAACTCCACCCCTTTGAAATCTATTTTGATGAGGAGGAGGAAGGTCGTCGTCTGTTCCTGTAGTTGTTTTACACCATAAAGTCTTAAATCTGGAAGAAGAAATCTCCAGATGAATGCTGCCATTCTAGGAAGCATATATTAAACAAACAAAATCCTCCAAGCAAGTTCATAAGGCTCCTTCCGTACTGTCTTACAGGCAGTCGCTAATTATGCACGAACACCAAATTTAAACAGAATATAAATGTCAATTCATTACCCATTATAAAACTAGAGTAGTTCTTAGCTGGTGAAGACAAAGACATAACTAGAAAAAATGAGCTAAATTAAACGAGAGAAAGGAGAAAGGTCATATAGCCAAAGGGAAATATTTATACTGACACAACAGAATGGATCACAAGAAAGACTTATTTCATTCATTTAAACAAGTTAGCACAAGACTCCATTTGGTAAAAAAAATTTCACTAGAACATAGCAGCATGGCAAGAAGGCAAAATCGAGTCTACCGGATTGCTGGGAAAAAAAGCTACTGTAATTTACAAGTAAGAAAGGCCTAATGGACAGAAAAAAATAATTTTAACCCTGAATGACTAAGGCTCCCATTGATAACCATATCGTTTTTACTTTTCTATCTTTGAAAATTGTACTTATTGTACTTATTTCTTCACAATTCTTCCCTCTTAAAGAAAACCTGGATTCTATGCCAAATTCTAAGCATAAAAATATGTAAACTGTTCTTGTTTTTATGTTTGAATCCAAATTCTAACCATAAAAATAAGTATGTAAAATGTTCTTGTTTTTATGTTTCAAAACTTGGCATGAATTTGGATAACTTTTGTTAGGAAGTAGATGAGAAAATAAAGGAACTCAAAAGTAGTATCTATGAGCTTAATTCTCCAAACTCAAAAAACAATAACCAAATGGGCCTAAACTTAAAAGTGTCTAGGAACAGCCAACGGAGGTAAAGCAAGCAACAAAAAGCATAACAAATGGGGGAAAAAAATCAACATACAGCCACTCACTTCCATTATAAAATTCGTTTCTAAATGAACTTATCAGCTACAAGTACTGGAAGTGGATGAAATACTTAAAACAGCGGGAAAAAAACTAGCCCTTATCAAGAGTAAAGCATAATTCAGAAGGCAAACTGCTATTGAACCCTAGAAAACCCTTCAAAAGTTCAAAACCAATCTTTTCAATTTACTCACCGCTGCTATCCGACGGTTCATACTCCATGGGAAGTTCCTCCCACCCAAATCAAAGATAAACCACACGAACCCACGAACAGAAAGCAACTTCCCGACAAACCCAACTCTCAAAACGCGGTAAAATTTCTCAGGATTCAACAGGAACAAAAACAAGCAAACCCAACACTGAACCTTGCAGAATATGGCCCCAACTCCAAGCTCAAACGCCACCCATGGAAGTCCAAGAAGCTAAATTTGCAGACCCAACACGGATCGAGTGAGAATCAAGACTCGATCCGCTCGGAATAGTTCAGTCGACGGCAAAAGAATTTCAAGCAATAAAATACGAATTTGACACAACTAGGGATTGGGAATTCAGAGTTGGATTTTTTCCTAGCGTTTTCTCGAGAAGAGGCTTGAAGAAGGTGTGAAAGATGAACGAGACGAGAGAAGCCGTTCAGGGTTGGGAGGGAAGGCGGACTTGAAATCGATTATTGTCTCCAATCCGTCCATTTTGTTTTCCCGTTAATAACTTCATTCAAGTCCGTCTAACTATTTAAAAATTAATATTACGTCAATATCATCGCTTAATTATTAATATCTTTATTGTTATCTTAAAAAATGCTAAAAAAAAATAATAAATATCTTTAATCAATGTTCA